GAATTAAACAACGCTATCATAAACGTCGATTGGATTGAAATATTTCGTGCAACAAATACGGATGAAACGGTACGTATGTTTTATGAGATATTGTACAACATTCTGGAGGAACTTGTTCCACTTAGACGAAGTAGACCTTATTCGTTTAAGGGTCCGTGGTGGACATCTGAGTTACAGAATCTCCGTAACGTCCTGCGTAAAGCTAGAAAACGCTATTTTAGAGCTCGAACTGCTGAGAACCGACGTTCTACTACCAGAACGTTCGTAGGCTGCATAGCAAAATCGAGGACTTCTTGACTGCCGTCTCTGCTTCTCCATACGACGTTGTAGTTCTGACCGAAACTTGGCTCGACGATGTTATTCCGTCCCGGATACTGTTTGGTGACAACTTCGTGGTATACCGAGGTGACCGCACTGCACTTACTAGCAACAAGAAACGGTCCGGTGGAGCCCTCATCGCGGTTAGAAAAAAACATCCCGTCGTCGGTTTTCCCGGTAAATGAGCATCAAATGGAGTATGCCTGGGTCAGTGTTTGTGCAGAAAATTGCAAGATAATTGTTGGTGCCGTATACATACCCCCGGACAAATCTAGCGATGTGCAAGTTGTTAAGCGTCACACTGCCTGTTTGGACTATGTTACATCTACACTGAACACGGATGTATAATCTTTGTTTTCGGTGACTATAACATGCCAGGACTAAAATGGAGCAATTTGGCAGAGGCGTTTCTCACGGTTGACGTTAACAAATCGTGCATCACTCGATCAGGTGCAGCGTTGCTCGACGGTATAAACTCCAGTAATATGCGGCAAATAAATGGCTTTGCTAATCGCCACGGCAACATATTGGACCTATCGTTTGTCAGTGAAACACTTGACGGTGCCTTTTCCATTGACAGTGTAGACGACCCGCTCGTTGCTATCGATGTTTGCCATCCCCCGTTCGTAGTCACCTTGAATGACACCTTTTCCATGCGTTTCGAAAATGACGACTTCGACTACCAGGCCTACAACTTTGCTAAAGCTGACTTCCTACGATTGTTGACGTTATTGAGTGAGGTTGATTGGTCGCCTGTCAGGAGCTGTTTGGATATCGACACAGCCGTTCACTTTTTTGCCGTTTCTGTCCGCCAAGCAATAGATCAATGTGTACCGCTACATCGCCCACCAATGATGCCCCCGTGGTCAAACAAGGAACTGAAAAGAAGGAAAAAGCATTGCAAACTCACACACAGGACTTACCGCAGATCTCGTTCTCTATCAGACAAACTAGTCTTCCATACAGCTAGTCGGCGATACAGGAGTTTGAATGGCAAACTCTACCGCAAATACGCCAGTGGAATCGAAAGGAACATCAAGCGAAATCCTAAATGTTTCTGGAATTTTGTTAATTCAAAGCGAAAGGAAACTGGTCTTTCAACTTCTATGTCCTTAGATCAGAAAGTGGCACACACTAGCTCGGAAAAGTGTGGACTTTTTGCGGAGTTTTTCCGTTCCGTTTTTGAAGGCACGCCTGTGAATGAGGATGCTGCTGATCCCCTTGACTTCGCTCCAACTGACGTGATTGAGCTGGATACCTTTGAGATTTCAGCAGAAGATTTCATCAAGGCTGTCAAAAAACTGAAGTCGTCGAACAATCCTGGCCCTGATGGAATTTCTGCATGTGTCATAAAAAAATGCTCCGTTCAACTACTGGAACCACTGCTGTGCATCTTCAACCTGTCCATGAGCGTGGCCAAGTTTCCAACAGACTGGAAGTCGTCCTTTATATTTCCTGTTCATAAGAAGGGTAGCAAAACTGATGTCAGCTGTTACCGTGGAATAACGTCCCTCTGTGCTTGCTCAAAATTGCTCGAAATTATCGTCTCCAACTATATGTTCAACAGAACAAAAAGCCACATATCTACGAATCAGCATGGGTTTTTCCCCGGAAGAAGTGTAAACACAAACGTCACTGAGTTCACTTCGATCTGTCTTCGAAATATTGGGCAGGGAAAGCAAGTAGATACAATATACACTGACTTGAAAGCTGCATTTGACCGGGTCAACCACTCCATTCTTCTGGCTAAACTACGCAAGATGGGCTCATCTGCCAATTTCGTTCAATGGCTCGAATCATATCTCTGCAACAGGACTCTTGCAGTAAAGATTGGATCTTCAACTTCTGACTGGTTCTGCAATACCTCCGGTGTACCTCAAGGAAGTAACTTGGGACCGTTGCTATTTTCGCTATACATCAATGACGCAACTGTGCTTCTGGAAAATGGATGTTACTTTATTTATGCTGATGATGCAAAAATCTATGTGATCGTTGAAAACGAAGACGACTGTCTGCGACTCCAGGAGGCACTGGACAAGTTTGCATTGTGGTGTCGTGCCAACAATATGACCCTCAGCGTACCTAAATGCCACGTTATTAGCTTCCACCGCAAGAAAAATTTCCTTCAATATGAATATGTCATCGACTGAACCACCCTATCACGCGTGCAGACAGTGCGTGATCTTGGAATTACATTGGACTCAAGTCTCACGTTCAGGAACCACCACGAAGATGTTATTGCGAAGGCACGACGGCAGCTTGGTTTCATTGGAAAGGTGACAAAGTAGTTTCAAGATCCTTACACATTGAAATCGCTGTATGTTAGTCTTGTTCGTCCAATTCTCGAGACAGGCTGTATTATATGGGATCCGTTTCATATCACCGTGATCGATCGCATAGAGGCCGTTCAGCGCAAATTTGTGCGATACGCTCTTCGCAACTTACCGTGGAATGACCCGGTTAATCTGCCACCCTACGAGAATAGATGCCAACTACTGGGATTGGAAACGCTGGAACAAAGGAGGAAGAACGCGAAAATTGTATTTGTAGCGAAACTACTGAACGCCGAACTTGATGCACCGAATCTTCTTGCTCTCATCGACATTAACATTCCCGGCTATGCACTCAGGAATACCGTATTTCTCTGCTTACCACGCTGGCGACAGGACTACGACGGTAACGAACCAGTACGTGCAGTCATGCGCAATTTCGATGTTTATAATTTGTTCGACTTCAATGAAAACTCTGTTCAATTTCGCTCAAGGCTAAGAAGAATGAATTGATGTTGATGCTAAGAGTTATTCATTAAGACAACAAATTGTCGGATGAAGATATCAAAGTAATAAATAATAAATAAAAAAAAATCTACATTCGCTCGAAACAGATTACAGCGATTACCGGACTGCTGCATTCCGTAGCTACATCAGACGTATGGAGCTGACCGCGAAGCAAGACCGGTCATCCTTTTGGTCTTTGATACGTAGCCGTAAGCAATCCAATCGTATTCCTGCCGAGATGACTTTCCAGAAGTCCTCTGCTGATTCACCGCATGAGCTAGCTAATATTTTTGCCGAATTCTTCGAGAATGTGCACAGTACAACATCGCCGATATTCTCTCCTGACAGTGTAAGGACCTGCTCTGCATACAATCTGAACTGTTCACCTCTAGCTGTGAGCCAGAACGAAATATTTTTAGCTTTGAAAAAGTTTGACGTTTCGAAAGGACCTGGCACTGACAACATACCGCCGTTGTTTTTAATAGGTCACCCAGTGAAAGTACTTTTCCCGAAGCGTGGAAGTTAGCCTCGATCACCCCGATCTTCAAAACTGGTAACAAACATTCTGTTGAAAATTACAGAGGTGTTTCGATTTTATGCTGTCTAGCTAAAGTGTTCGAACAATTGGTTCACAAAGCTCTGTATGTAGCCTCCCGACCGCTGATATCGGACTTTCAACATGGATTTGTTTAGAAGCGATCTACCACGACAAACATGATGTCCTACGTAAGCTTCCTGTCTTCAGAAATCAAGAATCGGCACCAAGTTGATGCCATATACTTCGATTTATCGAAGGCGTTTGAAAAGGTTCCTGATTGGCTTTCCTAATTGGATTACCGAATGGCTGTGCTCTTACCTATCCGGTCGGAGGGCATTCGTCAAATTAAACGGTACTCGCTTCCGCGATATTTCCATCACGTCCAGGAAGCAATCTGGGACCACTGCTTTTTATATTGTCCGTGAATGATTTGTGCTTTCGGCTGAAATCGAGCCTATTGCTTTACGATGACATCAAAAAGTGCATTTTGTTTTCTCACCGACAATCTCCAGGCAACGCTGATCCCCAGTTTGAATACTCCATCATCTCAGAGACTATAGAACGTGTTCAAGCAATACGTGGGGGTCACTGTGGACAGTTGACTCCGGTTCAACGGGATTTATTCGTTGCAATACAAGTGGCTTCACCGATATATATGCTCTCAAGGCACTGTACTGTTCAATTGTTCGCAACATGACGGAATGTATTTTCAATCTCGCCGTTAAGTAAACAATTCTCTGTATAGTTTTGTAAAATTTGATCAATTTTCCGTCTGTGTACTAGGTACTAGGTAGATAGTGATGAAGCTTCGCTAGAACTATTCCAAAGTCGCAGACAGTATATGAGCACACTTTCTTTGCCTGTAGATTTTTCAAGTCTCCTCATCCATTAGGTAAAGAAGTGTGCGTTTGACTAGTACTGTCGCATTAAGGTTCAATTTACTTTGATGCTTTTTGGAAAATTTCAAAAGCAGTTTTTTCCGACGCATTATTTCAGATTGCAAAAAGCTCGCAATCGATTCCTTTTGATATTTTACACGCGAGCTTTTTGCAATCTAAAATAATGCGTCGAAAAAAACTGCTTTTTATTCAAAAAAAAAATGCATCAAAGTAAATAGAACCTTAATGGCCCTTCGCTTATTTTCAACTTCTGTTCAATTTTCACACTGCCGTACTCTAGCGGAACTATCAACCTACCCTCTTCAGACCTTCTCTAGCTAATAAATTATCACACTAAAGTTTCATGTTAGATAGCAACTCTGAAAATCGTAAACTTCACGTATGAAGTAACATAAAACACTTTGAATGCATTCCTAATTGTTTAAAATTCTACCCATATCAATAACCCTCATTTCATATTCCTTCTAGAAAAGCTTGCTGAAGCGACCAGAAAGTTTGCCAACCTCCGATCGGAGCTGAGTGAAACCCTCGAGCTCGAAGAATCGACCAAAAAGAAAAAGGACAATCTCCATCGGGTGAAGAAGAATCTTCTCCGTAAGAAAAATGTATCCGTTCGCAAGATACAAGAACTGAAACTCGCCTTCAGCGAGTTCTATTTGAGTTTAATTCTGCTGCAGAACTATCAAACCTTGAACTTCACCGGCTTTCGGAAGATACTCAAGAAGCACGACAAGCTATTGAATGTGGATTTCGGCGCACGTTGGCGAGCCGAACACGTGGAATCGGCTCACTTCTACACGAACAAAGACATCGATCGGCTGATTCATGAAACGGAGAACATTGTGACCAACGAGATCGAAGCCGGTGATCGGCAACGGGCCATGAAGCGTCTCCGAGTGCCACCTTTGGGAGAGCAACAGAGTCCGTGGACAACTTTCAAGGTTGGACTGTTTTCTGGATCGCTATTGGTTCTGTGCGTGGCGGTGCTACTGTCGGCCATGTTTTACGATTACAGAGATGACTGGATTGTTGCTTTCCGGTTGTACAGGGGTCCTCTCTTGATGGTGGAATTTTTATTCCTATGGGGAATCAATGTCTACGGTTGGCGATCATCTGGTGTAAATCATGTTCTGATATTCGAGTTGGACCCTCGAAACCATCTCTCCGAGCAACATCTGATGGAGCTGGCAGCAATCTTCGGTGTCATGTGGACACTGAGTGTCCTAGGCTATCTGTATGCTGAGTCTTTGAGTATACCGGCCTATTTGAGCCCCCTGGTGCTGTATCTGCTGATGACGGCTTTCCTGTTCAATCCAACGAAAACATTTCGCCATGAGGCACGCTTCTGGACAATCAGAATAGTTAGTCGAATAGTATTAGCTCCATTTTTCTTCGTTAATTTCGCTGATTTCTGGCTGGCGGATCAGCTCAACAGTATCGTACCCGCATTTCTGGACGTGCAATACTTGATCTGTTTCTACTCTACCATTACCAATTGGAACCATGCTGAGAATCCAAATAAATGCATCGAAAACTCGCTGTGGATTCGAACGATCGTGGCCATGCTACCGGCCTGGTTCCGTATGGCGCAGTGTTTAAGGCGATTTCGCGATTCTCGGGATGCCCATCCACATCTGGCGAATGCTGCCAAGTACTCGACGTCATTCTTCGTGGTGGCATTTTCATCGCTGACGCAGGCTACCCGAGATCAGTACGAGAAGAACACTGACAATCCGTGGTTTTATTTGTGGATCATTGCCTCGATTGTGTCGTCCTGCTATGCGTACACATGGGACATCAAGATGGATTGGGGATTGTTCGAAGCAAAGGCAAATGATAACAAGTTCCTGCGGGATGAGGTGGTCTACAGTTCGAATGTAAGTATGAGAATGGTGTCTTCTCAGGTTATATGTACGAATGCATAGGGTTGCGGTACGTTATTGGGTCTCCATGCACAACTACAGGAACCTAACGCTTCTAACGTACCGGAACTATAGGAGCGTTTACTCTATATGATTACTGTTGGGACGGCTTTATTTGGATTGTACTACGGGCTACTTTCAACGCAATATTTGATAGAATAAGTAAAGTGGATTCATAAATGCATTGAATGTTTACTCACAACCGCTGACTGAGCCTGTCCAATTATATACAATCATCCTTATTCTTGTTTACGGCCGTATCGAACTTTCGTACACTATTGTCATTGTGAACTACCCAGAAGTCATTGGAAAAGTTCATTAAGCGAGTTTGACAAAAATAGAATTTTCCAATACTTTTGATTGATAAAATCCAAATTCCATTCTCAACAGTAAAAAAAATCATACTACCAGTGAGTAGTGCAAATTTAAAGGAAAAACATAAAAAAGATCTAAGAAAAGACAAAAGAGTCAAAAGAACGTATTAGTTGTACAGAATAGTGATGTGCAACAAAAAAATTTGACTGATGAATTTGATGAATTGACTATGAATTTTGAATAATTTATTTTTATTTTGGATGACTTTTGACAAATCATTTTCTCAAAAGTCCAAAGTAGCCCGTCCATCGGAATTACTGGATGTGTTTAAATGAACATTTTTGATACTATTTTTGGAACTATTTTTTGAGATATCAAACTAAATTCAGTACCTACGGTATGAAAAAGTTAAAATTGTAGTTAATCAGCCTTCAACTAAAGTATGTATGTTGAGCTGGTACACGAGCACTGGTGCGTAACCAGTGCAGTCATGGTTAAATTTAGAGCTGGTTACTCATTGATTTTTTAGATGTACGCGCTACGTCCACCTCAAATCCATGGGCTCCTTTCAAAAACGCCCATAATTCTGATTTAGGAATGTATAGAAGTAGCATAGAGGTAACTCTAAGACCAGAAGGTCCCGAAGAAACGTGCTCAACTTTTTGTCTCAGCTCTAGTACTCTCTTCGGTCCCAAGCTAATCGACGATGATGCACCCCTCGAAAGATAGGCAAATCCACGCACCCCTCATTTTATCTGTCAAACTTTCATAGCGAATCAAAACAAACATAGTTTAGTACTAGAATTTCGACTAGAATTTCGACTAGAATAGGGTACGCTTATAGATGTACTTGGGACCAGTGTTGGAAAAGTTCACCAAAACTCACTATGACTCGCGAACTTTTCCTTTGGTGAACTTTGTGAAATATCGCGATTTTTTTTCCAACGCTGCTTGGGACCAATAGGCTAGTCAAGTAGTGAGCCAATTTAAAATCGTTAGTTTCCACCGGTTGGTAGTAAGCTGGGACACGGATATATGAAAAAAATATATAAATCTTGTTTCAGTATGGTTTCCGGGGATCCTACAGTAACTGTTTAAAGTTTCAGGTCGGTTGGTGTAACTATATTTTAGCGCCAGCGGTTTTTATTTTAGATAGGATTTTCTATGGGAAAACTTATTTTTTAAATAAAAACCTGTCGAAGTCACCCTTGAATTGACCTCTAAAAATAAATCAATACAACTACTCCACAGGAAATTTTACAAGGAAACTTTTCTTGCTATACTGCAAAACGATCCGACGCTTGTGGAAAAAGTTATTTAGCTATTACTGATTGCTAAACAAACAACCTGCTCATTATTCCTTTTTTCTAGCATCACTGCCAGCTCCGTCTGCTGCTGTCTGTGCGAGACAGTCACGTTGTGTGGGGGTTCACTCAGCATGGAGGAAAGCCGATATTTTGCACAGGGTCATTTGGAAACAAGCGTAATTTTTCACAATGGTGTATTTGTTTTTGCACACACTTTATTCAAATAATTCTACTTGGAAATGCTTCGAGTGCAGAGCAAAACCGGCTAGGAAAACAAGAATGTAGGCTGAACATTAGGCTTTACGAAAAAGATGTGTAGCTACCATCTTCACATTTTCGTCGATTTCAAGTTTTGAATCGAAAAAAGCAAGGGTCACGTTCCATTCAGAAAAGTACCATAGATGATTTGGAAGGCTTTCATGGCAATCAAAGTGTAATGTTGGTCGTGAAAGTTGTGGTATCTTCCCAAAATTCCTGATCCACTCGAGGGGCCAAAACAGAACTACTTGGACGATATCAATATCGAATGAAGCATTGCGATAGAAATAGAGCCAAAGATGTGTCATGCTTCCAAAGAGACTGATCATCTTAGTTTTCGCTGCACATCCACGATTTCAAAAGGTGGCCCATCCACCTCGTACGACTGAGGCTAGCTCTCTTGTGGAATCTTAATGCTTTTGTAGGAACTCCACCTAAAAACATTACGACCAATTCGAGCAGCTTTCGTAATCCGATCGTTGTTGTTTAATCAACAGCTGGTCGTTACAAAACGCGATGATTCCGTCCCTCCACAGTCCATTTAAGGTCCAGATTATCCATAACGGTCCGTAATTTCCGGTTGCTCCGATTTTGGTTGAATTCATTGAAAGAATCGAGATTGTTGGTTGCGATGTGATGGCGGTATGCCAATGGTCGCAAGTTGCTTTTCAGTAGAACTGGAAGACGGGTTATAATACCATTTTTTACGCCATAGTTAACACTAATTGTATCAAAGCTCATTCCAACTATTCTTTACTGCAGACCCATCTCGTTGATTGTCTCACTTATCGAAGCTGTTTAAGCATCCACCATTCCACATGATAGGGAAGGTACCGAAAGATGTTTAGACATCCCTGGAAGAATGGGAAGCTGATCAACGCGCTTTCTGATGATGTAAGGTAGAATATTTTCATCCCAGTGTACTATAAAAGTTACATCAGTTTCAAAGCTTTGCTTCAGCTGGTAAATTTTTAATCAAAATAAACAAAATGAAAATAATTTTAGCTATGCAAAAAAAAAAAATAAAAAAAAAATCTTAACAAAGAGTTTAAAAATTAAAGAATTTATGAATTAAGGAATTTAATAATTTAAAAAATATTGAGCTAAAAATTTTAGAATTTTTGGGTCATAGAATTTTGAAATTTTGTGTGTTTTAGAATTTAAGAATTTAAAAAGTTTGGAATCTTAGAACAAAAAAAAAGCATACTGCTTTCGCCAGTGCTTCACGATGTTTCATTCGGGAACGACAAATGGTCTGATAATTTAAAGCGTAATCAGATGTGTTGGACGACTTCGTGTGATTGCCTTCTATAATTCCTTCCAAAATCATTTCTATTAGATATTCCAGTTCTTTCAAATGCTGCTGCAATATCCGGAGATGTGATGTCCATTTTTTAACTGGAGTAACCGTAAGTACAGAAAAAAGGGAGAACCAACCCGGAAAAACCGTAAAAGTGTTAAATTTATGAAATTGTTCCAAGAGCTTTGCGGTGTTTTCGAAAGCACTTCTGAATTCGAACTTGTGATCGGAAAATGAACACTGGATTCCACTGAGTAACCTTCCGGACTATTCGGATAGACATGAAATGACATAGACATTAATGTGGATAGACCAATCCAGTGTACAGAAATTAACGGAGTCTAGGATCCCGAAAGGGCGTCAATAATCGATTTCCGGCCTTAAACGTCGTCCCCGTTCTTGAAATGCCCATATTGTGGAGTATTTGACCCTTTTTATCTTGGATTCCAAAATGGCGTCAATCATCGGTTTCTGATCTCTAGCCATCGTCCCCGTACATTTTTAGCGGTAATTAACACTTTTTCACAAACCGGAGGCCATCTTTGATTCCAAGATAGCGTCAATAATCGATTTCTAGCCTCTACAGGTGCTACGCCTTCCAAAAATACCCATATTTAGGAGTATTTTACACTTTTTAACATACCGGAAGTCGCCATCCTCCGAAAGTTTGCCCCATGATCACTAGGGTTCTTTTTCAGGTCACAAGTCCGAATTATTTGTATTGCGTCCTTTAAATGTGCCGTCAATTTATCCAGCGGGACAAGTTTAATGAATTTCAAAGATTATACGTGTTTTGGAATGTAGCAATAGCGTACCATAGCGTAACTTCAAGGATTTTGAACCTATCTCAAAGCGTACAGGAAAACCCGTGTACCGCTGGATAGACATACGATTTCAGCAATGACCAAGTCGATCGACCAGATTTCTACGGAAATGTGACGTACCAGATGCGTAATTTACGAATATGTAATTCATTTTTAACGTACCTCTCATTTTCACTTCAATGTTGATATTAAACTTTTTTAAATCGGTTTATATGTGAATTCTGGGCACGGAATTGGATTTCTAGAAAAAATTTAGCCCGATTTCATTTAAAAAACATTTTACTTAAGTGCATTCTAGCCAATTTGAAGACCATAAACTCACAAAAATATACTAATTTTGAACAAAAACGTTAATTTCATGAATAATTATGGAGACGCGCGGTGCTGCTTGGAAAACTCCATCATGAGAAATGGCTTGATAACTCCCCGCCACCACTGGGACACCCCTCACCATCCCTCTCCAAAGGGGGAGTTTGGTAAAGAGAGATGAAAAAACCGATTTGTACCTTCCTTAAAAGTTGTCCTAGCTCGCTATTCTACTATCTACATGCAATTTTCACAATGCCGTACTCTAACGGAACTATCAACTCTATGCTTTCATCTACTCCATATATCGTATAAAAATTACCACTACAGTCTGTTATTTGAAATTAGCATCTTCAAACTATGTAGATCGTTGACTTCTCGCAGAAGTAATACTAAAACATATAGGCAAAGTTGAAAATTTTGTCAAATACCCGTAATATGGGTATTTTTGGTATCGTGGTGACGTATAAGAACTGAAAACCCATGTCTGCCACAATTTTGAAATCTAAGATCGAACTTGCTGTGAATCTGCAGAATTATACTATTTTCAGTGATATTAGCGACCATCTTCCTGTTATTTTGTCTCTCCCCCTGAGTAATGAAAAGAGGTAACAAGAACTGAGAATGAACATTATCGATCGTGTT